TTGTAATTGCATATAAAACACCGTTTCAAATCCTAATAAAAGCTTTCAGGCCAAAGAGGTCTCCTTAATCAATAAATCTTATGCAAAATATTACGGCCCGTAATATTGCGCAAGAATTACGGTCTGGACATAATATTGTGCAATTTATTACGAAAAATTATGGAATGCAGTAATAACCTTGATCACGTGAACCAATTAAATTGTATAATTTTCGTAACCAAAATTAAATCGGTCAAAATTTAATTCGGATCCAATTAGAAGTTTTTATTAAAGTTTAAAACCCATTTCAAACTCCAGTTTATTATTATTATTTTGAATCTATTTTCAAAGATACAGATATATTAAAAATTCCCATTATGGCATTATGACTCAATTTTGTATTAAACTATTATTTTAATCTATTTTCACAGGTTGTGTTTGTTCTTTTATTAATAAATAATTCGCAGGTCTACAAAATAGCTTTTATTTTACAGATCATACCAAATCACAAAAAAAAAAAAAAACTAGACAATTACTTTAACCCTAATTAACTCTAACTAAAATCACTAAAGAGTTAAAATATCATTTATAACAAACGTTTCAAAATGCTATCATGTAACCTCAACAACATTATGCAGCTTATTATTTCCAAAGCCTGCCAAACACAATGTATCAACAAACGAAATGTTCAAACAACAAAGCTTAAAAGACAAGACCAACTACAAAGACTTCAATGACAACACTGAAGCGATGGATTTATACTTGACACCAACGACGAGATCATACCAGCAAAATCTTGACATCGAAGCAATGAAATCAAAAATAAATGAAAAAACCTGAAAAAAGAAAAAAGTAATTCGGTAATGAACAAGAAAATTAAAGAGAGAAAAAAAAAAGACCAATACTTATCTAAAGACCAGCCCAATTCCAAACCTTGCTAAACACAATGCTGAAACAACAAGACCAACCATGAAAACTTAATGACAACACTAAGGCAACGAATTTATACTAATGGAATCTTGACACCAACAATGAGATTGTACTAATATCGAAGCAATGAAATCAAAAATACCAATTTCAAATGAAACACCTGAAAAAAGAGAAACATAATTCGGTAATAAACAAGAAAATTAAAGAGAAAAAAAAAGGCCGGTACTTATCTAAAGACCAGCCCAATTCCAAACCCTGCTTAACATGACGCTAAAATAACAAAACCAACCACGAAGACTTAATAACAACACTAAGACAATGAAAGAGAAAAAAAAAAAAAAGACCGGTACTTATTCGAAGACTAGCCCAATTCCAAACCTTGCTGAACACAATGCTGAAACAACAAAACCAACTACAAAGACTTCAATAACACTGAAATGATGAATTTATACTACCAGAATCTTGATATCAACGACAAGATCGTGCTAGCGAAATCTTAATACTGAAACGATGAAATCAAAAATACTAATTTTAAACAAAAAAGCCTGAAAAAAGAGAAACGTAATTCGGTAATGAACAAGAAAATTAGTGAGAAAAAAAAAAAGGCTGGTACTTATCTAAAGACCAGCCCAATTCTAAACCCTGCTTAACATGATGCTAAAATGACGAAACCAACCACGAAGACTTAATAACAACACTAAGGCAATGAAAGAGAAAAAAAAAAAAAGACTGGTACTTATCCAAAGACCAGCCCAATTCCAAACCTTGCTGAACACAATGCTGAAATGACAAGACCAACTACAAAGACTTCAATAACACTGAAACAACGAATTTATACTACTGGAATCTTGACACCAATAACGAGATCATGCCAGCGAAATCTTGATACCGAAACAATAAAATAAAAAATACCGATTTCAAATAAAAAAGTCTAAAAAAAGAGAAACATAATTCAGTAACAAACAAGAAAATTAAAGAAAAAAAAACTCTCCATCCGGTTACTTATCTGAAGACCAGCCCAAAATCTTATTTTGTGTTTTAGCACCCGATTCCAGACGAAGAAGTACCTAAAGAAAGAGAGAAGTTCTAGCAACAGCTTGGTAAATAAAACCAGTCTGTTCCAGTTCACATCTTATTTGCTTTTGGCAAAACCGAAGAAAGAAGAGCCTAGAAGCTAATGTACAACGCAATAATAAAAAAAAAGACCAACTTAAAAAAAGAAGAACCTAAATATTAGTTATAAGACAATAATACAAAAAAAAAAACAAAAAAACAAGAAGCTTATTCAAAATAAAAAAAAAAGCCTTCGCTATACTAAAGCTATAAATAAAAAAATAAATAAATAAAAATAAAAATAAAAAAGCAAAAAAAAAAATTAAAATCTAATCTAGATCCAATGACAAATCACTAGTCTAAATATATATATTCAGCTTTCGATTTTTTTGAAATGGCTGATTCTTGGGATTTATTCTTCTAGGGATTAATTAAAAGGCAGTAAATTCGTAATACACATTTAGTTTTGATCTGACAAAGAAAGAAAAAGAATAAAAATATAAAAATAAAAAAAATAAATTTATATTTACAGATCACTGATCTTTAATCGTGATTGGTGATGGTGATGTGATGAAATCATATTGTATCCGATATATGTATAACTTAATTATTTCGAAATATTTCGAAATATCTTGCGTAATATTTCGTAATAAACTTATGTAATATTTCGCAATTGTATATTTCGCAATATTGCGCAATATATTGCGTTATATTACGGCATTTTTATGTTGTGTAATTTATTGCACAATATTACACACTATTAAATTTGCTGATATATATTGTAATAGAATTTTGATTCGGTTGGATATAGAATTCGAATTCCACTTTAATAAGTGGATTTAAGTCATTATTCATTCATTGCAGCAATAACAAAAAAAATTTGATTACTCATGTGTATTACAATACTTCCAGGTTAGGATGAACTATTATATCATATAAATTTCTCTGGCTATGAGACGAGTTAGACGCTTTATCAAAGATTCGAAAATTTTATTTGGTATAGCATTTGATTGACTAATACAGTATCTAATTTAGCAATTTATAATTTAAACTAGCCAGTTTTTTTAAACGATTTCCATGTGCTGCGTATGGTTATGTAGTATAGTAGTGGTATTGGTTTAGTTGATATGTAACTATGTATTTCAGTTCGATTCGTTATGGTTATGTTTTATTTTTTTACGAGAATATTTTACAGGTTAGGTGTTTATTTTTGTTTATTCATGTTTTATCTTTGAAATTTTTTTTTTGTACTGTAGTTTTTGTTTTTTTTTGTGGTTTTTCGTGTGAAAAGGAATTTAGAGAATAGGATTAGAGCATGTTGCTGTGATATTTTCTAATCTTTGGTATTCTGTTATTATGTCTTGGTCTGCGTTAAGGACTGTTCTGTTGAGATGTGATATTTTTATATTGTTCCAAGTCGGGCACCTGCTCAGGGTAACATAAGCTTGGCCTGGGGAGAAAATGTTTTCATCAAGGGAGAGGGTGACTCTAGAAAGAGTTAGGCCTAGTGGAAATAACATAATTATGTTATTTCCACTTAGTCTAGGTTATTTCCACTCAGATATGACGACAGAAATGCATCACTGTCATCATTCGAGTGATGACAGAAATGCGTCACCGTCATTAGAGATATATTAGTATTCGCTCTATCATTCGAGTGACGAATGATTCACGCTTGCGTTGTCATTCGAGTGACGATTGGTTCACGAGTTCATCATCACACTTAGGTACCCATGATCTATAAAAAATATGACAACGTATTTGTGTTCATATTGTCACACTTAGATACCTCACGATCTATAAAAAATATGACGACGTATTTGTGTTCACGTCGTCACACTTGGTCGCTTTGATGGGTGATGGCTTTTATACTCTTTAGAAAGTCAAATTCGATATCAATAT